CAGTTGGAGTCTTGGAAACCCAATCGAGGGTCACTATGAGTCAGAAGAGCACTGAGTGTACATGCTTGAACCCACAAAATATAACAAAAGCTTAAGAAACGCAACAGAATTAAACCGCAAAGTTATCAGTACTTATTTATGAAATAAAAACTATCACCTGTGCTGCAGATGGACTTGGTCCTGAGCGGTGCCAATGATTAACGGGTTCGGCTAACAGAAAGGTTGATGGTTTAAGTCTACTCTTCATCCTCAGAAAAAAGGACTAGGATCACTTCTGAAAAACCAGTCATTAAAATCTGATAGCGCACAGCTCTACTATGAGACACAGTGTGTCTTCATGAGCCAAAACTGACTCGAGGACAACGAGTATACCACAGATCCATCGCCTACTCAGATCTGTCTGGGATTTAGAATCCTGAAGGAAAGTTTTCTATTAAAATATCTCACAGGTACTTCAGATGAAATGAAACTAAATTTAGCAGATTTTCTTCATAACACTTTGTCTTTTTCTAAGGTTAGGAACTGTGTTATCATCCACTTTACTGCTCAATCTAGAAATCTCGGTGATGTCCTTCTGCTCAATGACAAGAACATAGTTTGCTATGAATCCAATCCCATCATCCCCTCTTATCTTGAGAAGAGACACAAATGCTAAAAGTGGCTGTGCCTACAGCTCTACACTCCTCCAGCCCATGTTCCACACTGCAGAGAGGCCTTGTCATATCCTTCTATAAAAACCAAATCTATCTTTGATGGCTATTTAGAGATGTATATTTAGGTGATAATGACATAAAGAAAACCAAGCAATTTAATAGTATATAAGTGAGAAACAGTAGTTCTCTTTATGAAGAATTAGAAAAGGGCTCGAGGCTAGTTCTATGACACTGGGAATGTTCTGGTTCTTGAAACAGACTGACTGTCATCTAGTCAATTCTCACTCATAGTGGGTTTCTCCATTGGGTTTCTGAGGCTCTAAATCACAATGGGAGGTGACTGCCTATCCTCCCTCTTCAGAGGTAGCAGCAGATTTGAACCTATGAAAATGTGCTGGAGAGTCAGCTATGAGTCAAGTGGGTGATAAGCAAATATATACAAGATTAAAAGGGAAGATAATGATGACAAAGTAACAAAACAAAAACAAGTCTCTTTTAAGTGGTCCAAAATTTCTTTGTGTTACCTTAAAAATATCTAAACAGAATTCAAATATAAAGGTTAGTTTATCATTTCAGAGGCAGCTTTGATCAATAGATGAGTACAGTATTCACAGTAGTTAAAAATGTAAATGCTAAAATATATGCTGTATATATAGAAACATAAAGTATTCTTTTTTCCCAAATAAAATACTATGTATTAATGTAAAATATACATCAAATTAGAAAAAAGGAATTAATCTAATATATCTGATGTGCTGGAGCCTAAAATACCTATGCAGTCTGTCTACGAGTAATATAGCACTGAATAATCATTTTACATTATAAACATCTTTTGTATTTTCATTGTTAATATAATCTTAAATATTAACTTGAAAAAAACGAGAAAGAACAATGCTGGCAGAATATAGCTACTAAAAATGTGTGAACTGCACAAACAAATGCCTTCTTTTATATTCAGTGTTTCTAAGTTAAAAATCTACGCACTAAATCTTCCACTAAATTTAGGAAGAATGACCTCATGAAAATATCTTTCAATCTACTGTATAAAAATAATAACAGTAATTTAAAAAGAAAACAAACCTTTGCCAATTTATTAGCCCAAGAATAACTCTACACATGTAGCTCTTACCTAATTATCCCAGTAGAAGTCAATTTAGTACTAGATTAGTTGTCCTTGTTATGACTGACCTTCCATTCCAGTGGGTTTTCAGAGGAAGAAAATGACCACCTTTCTCCCGAGGATTAGCTGCTGGACTGAAACCTCCTGCTTTTGAGTTGGCAGCTCAACCTCTTACTCACTTGTTATTTGGTGTCTTGGAGTCAAATATAACTCCTAACAACCCTCTTAACAATAGATCTGAATCCTATTTCTGTGTCATTTGCATCATCTCTGACATACTTAAGCCCATAGCTGCTGTCACTCTATCTCGCTGAGGTTATCTCTTCTGTTGACATTCTACCTTTCCAAGCATGATATTCTTTCCAAAGACTAACTCCTCCTAACAACTTTCCCAAAGTTATTGCTGTTGTTGTTGTTATGTGCCGTCGAGTCGCTTGCGACTCATAGCGACCCTATGTACAACAGCCCTTAAACTCTGTCCTGTGCCAATCACACCGTCTTCGATACAACCATCCCAATTACCCAAGACACTGAATCAATTCACCTCACAGAGGGCCTTCCCCTCCTGCACTGTCCCTCCACCCTATCAAACATGATGTCCCTCTCCAAGGACCGGCCCCTCCTCACAACATGTCCAAAGTATGTTAGAAGGAGCCTCAGAATCCTTGCCTCCAAGGAGCCGCCCGGTTTAACCCTTTCCAGGATGAATCTGTTTGTTTTCCTAGCACTCCATGGGACCCTCAATACTCTTCTCCAGCACCAAAGCTCAAAGGCATCAATCTCTCCTTCTAGCCTGCTTAGTCACTGTCCAACTCTCTGATGCATAACAAGTGATTGCAAAGTATTTGGGCTAAACTTCAGCATCTTCACCTCTAAGGAGCTCTATGGCTGCACTTTTTCAAGATGTATCTTGTTTGTTCTTTGGCAGTTGATAGGATATTCAGTACTCTTCACTGATCTCACAACTCAAAGGCATCAATTCTTCTTCTGCCATCCTTATTCACTGTCTGGCTTTCAGATGCATAGGAGGGGACTGGAAAGAGTATGGCCTCAATGAGGCATACCTTACTCTTTAAACTGACATCATGCTCTTTAGAACTTTAGAGAGGTCCTTGACATCAGACTTTCTCAATTTATACATGCTCCAGGTCTCCTGACTGCTGGTACCAAGAGTGTTGGCTGTGGATCCAAGTACGATGAAATTGCTGGCAATTTCAATCTTTTCTACATCTATTACGATGTTGCCTTTTGGCCCAGTGTTGCCTTTTGATTTCTTGATGTTGAGATACAATTCAGATTCAAGGTTATATAGTCTTTGATCTTAAGGAGCATGTGACTCTTGGATTTCAGCAAGCAAGGTTGTGTCATCTGCATAATACAGGTTTTTAATGAGCCTTCTTCCAACCCTGATGGCACATTCTTTTCCATAATATCCAGCTTCTTGAATAATCTGCTCACAGACTGAATAGGTATGGAGAAAGGACACAGCCTTGACTCATTTGATCACCAAAACTCCATACTATATTAATAGAACAGCTTTCTTCTTTGAAATTAAGAAGTTGTTGTTGTATTCCTACCTAACCCTCCAGCCAGTTTTTAGAGGCAGTAAATTTCACAGGAGGAGGCTCCCTATCCTCCTGTAGAGCAGCTGGTGGATTTGAACCACATGCCTTTGAGTTTGTAGCACAGCTTCTTACCACTAGGCCACAAAACCTTCCTAGAATTAAGAAGTGAAATCTCCACATTTTCCATTAGTATACTTAGTGGTAATGTGTTGCACTGCCAACCCAAATACAAGTGGTTCAAATCCATCAGCTGCTCTATGGGACAAGATGGGTGATCTCTTCCCATGTGATTTCCTGCCTGTGAAAACCCACTGCAGGGTCAGATATGGGTTGGTTCTGCCGCAACAGTTCTCAACAACAGTAATTCACCAAGTAGAAAGGACATGTTACTATGGTAAGTACAGATCATTTAAATTTGGCTTAGTATTGTCACTCACAAAACACAAAATAGACAATCTTTAAAAAGTATTTCTCCACTTAAAATATAAACTTTCAAAAGTCACACATGAGTAGCATTTACTTGTATTTACTGCCAATCATTAACCTGATACATACTGATCTAAAAGTAACGGAATAAATGGAATCTTTCTCCAGATTCATCTGACAATTTTTAGGGCCAGCAGCTAAGGGAAGATATGTACTATTTCATATTACCCTTTCAGTTCTAAAACTTTGCTAGGACAAATCATGTTTTAGGAAATACCTCAATCTCTGAAAAGTCAGCTATCATAGAGAAGATTCTGATCCATTGTGACATCCTATTTGTTAGAGCAAAAGTGTGCTGCATAATTTAGTGACAAGCGGTTACTTTTAGAAGTAAACATCTTTAACTCTTTATTCCAACTGAGTTAAAGACAAAGGACAAGTTATTAGGGTAATAAAGAGACAGTGAGAATAGTTAAGACGCTAAAATCTGATGTATTTTGTTCTACCTTATCAAGGTGCTCGGAAGCAGGTGTAGTATCATCCACTTCCTAAACAACATGCCTCTGGAAACTCATGAACTTTGAGAAACGACAGTTATGGAAAGGCTTCAGGTCTTTTGTTAGTAGGGTCTCTAAGAGTAGTGCTCGTCTCGATGGCAATCAACAACAACAATCAAAGTGCACCTGACTCAATCACTTGCTATGCATCTGAGAGCTGGATAATAATTAAGGATGACAGAAGAAGAATTGATGCCTTTGAGCTGTGGTGTTGGAGAAGAGTATTAAATATCTCATGGACTTCTGAAAGAACAAACAGGTATATCTTGGAAGAGATGCTGACACAGTGCTCCCTGGAAGCAAGAATGACAAAGTTTTGTCTCTCATACTTTGGACATGTCACTAGGAGAGTCATTTGGAAAAGGAATATGAGATTTGGAAGGGTGGCAGGTCAGCAAAAGACAGGAAGACCTCCAATGAGATGGACTGACAGGGTGAATGTAGCAATGGGTTCCACAGGTCGCTAACGTACTTGATTAGACAGCACCTAACAATAACAATCAATCAAACATTTCAAAACATTAATACTCTCAATTATACTTGGGTTTAGATTTCTGTCACATTTTCTTTACTGTATTCAAAGGACATTATTTAATAGAAATAGTCTAATTCCAAGAAAATTCATATAACCTCAAAAAAAGGAAATAAAATAGCACACAAATACGTGATTTTTTTTTACCTATTTTCCCGTTCATACATTTCCCTGGAGGCACTTCGAAGTTGATCAATCTCTTGATTTGTTTTTAATCTGATTTGTTCCAATTCATCCCGAAGTTTATTTTCATATTCTGTTTTATAATGGTCTCTGAAAAAAGTCAAAGTAAATATCCAATAATTTTTCCATGTAAAACAACTAGGCTTTTGCCAGCCATTAAGATTTTTGTAATTTTATGTCAAATATGGTTTTGATATATGCCACACTACTTGAAAAACTTATGACATATCAAGTTTTATTATTCCTAAAATAGTCTTTCAAATTATTCCCATCTAAGATGTCAATTTGTTAAACATATTGCTCCCTAGGTGATTAACTGCTGTTGTTAGGTTCCATCGAGTATGATTCATAGTGATCTTATGAACAAAAGATTTGAACCCTGTTCTATCCTATGCCATCTTTACACTTCCTGACAAAATAAGAACCCACACAGTCACTGTGTCAGTCCACCTGGTTGAGGGTCTTCATCTCCTCTGCCAACCCTCCACCCTTCCCAGCATCAGGTCGTTCTCCAAGGAAAAGCCTGGCCTAGCAACATGCCCAACATATGTGATGTGAAGCCTCATCATTCTTGCCTACAAAGAACAGTTTGGCTGCACCCTCTCCAAGACATATCTAATATTCTTTTGGCTGTACGTGGGATGTTTAGTGCTCTTTTTCAATTAATTGCTCTATAAATTTTAGTAATTTATAGTGAACAATTGTTCACGTAAAAATATATTTAATAATGTTTTCTAACATATATTTCCAAAGACTTGAAAGTTAAAGCACATGAAATGGCTCTCATTTTTAAAAAAACTAATTTGGGACAGTACTTACGGAAAGATAAGAAAGTCAACAAAAATATAGAACAACATGACTCTAATCAACTTTACGAGACTAATGCAATATCTTGGAAAATTCAAAGGATTATACAGAGTATTGTCAAAAAGAGCACAAACAAACAAAAAAAGTACTAAAGGCTGAAGGAGAAGTTATAAGTCTGCAAAGAATTAAAGCTAAATTATGTTTTAGTTTTGAACATGTTGATGAAAATAATTCAAGGATTATAAAGGCTGTGATATATGAAGAACTCTAGTTAAAAAAAAGTATATGTAATAATAAAACAATAACATAATCACATAACCTTTTTAAGCATCTATTATGTGCCTGGAAGTGTGCTAAAGTTTTAAATCTATATTAAAATCTCATATGAACCTAATATTGTGGTTATTAGAGCTGTGTCTTTCATAGAAAGAAAAACTGAGATGTGGAAGCTAACATCTTAGCCAATTTATATATTTACTACAAGAATAAAGATAAGATTCACATGCAGGCAGTGTGATTTCTGGGCCTGTATATTAAGCATTATTGTTGTGTGTACTGTAGAGTCACAAATGACCCATAGCTGAACCTCAACCAGGTTTTCAGAGGCAGTTAATTGCACGAGACATTACTGCCCATCCTTCTCCAGTAGAGCAGCTAGTGGACTCAAACCACATGCTTCTGGGACTGCAGCACAGCTTTTTGTCACTAGGTTACCACATCAACTAAATTAACTTCTTGTAAAGACACAAAATGAAGTATATTACCTTAAAGCCATCCTACAGATTAAAAAAAAAGTCACTATTTTTCCCCCCCAAAGAAAACAAATTCTCTCAAAGATGATACCAACTTGTATCTATTTACATGGAAAGAATTAAAATCTTGCCTGGATGTTACATATTTTTCATACATCTCTTCTCTAGACTTTTTGGTTTCTTCAAGTTGAATCTGTAGTCTTTCCAGACGATCTTCTTCATGGGCACAACGAACACTAAGTTCCATGTTTTGACGATTTAGATATTCTTTATCTTTTTGCAATAAAGTCACAGTCTGCTGTAGAGTGGTTACCTACATACATAGAGAAGATAGTTCAAAAGCCTCTCTTCTTAGTTTTCATGGTTAAATTGTCCTATTTTCTTTCATTTGTGCTTTTACTCAACATACAAAAATTCTCCTTTTTAAAATGGGCAAATTTCAACTTTAGACCCAGAATGAGCTACCCAAGTCCTTTTTTGCTAATCACATAAAAAAGGAAAACTCGGCGGGCTCTGGTGGCCTAGTGGCAGGAAACCTCACTGCCACTGCACCCAGAGGTGCACAGTTCAAGTCCACCAGATGCTCTGCTGAAGAAGGAGGAACAATCGCCTCCTGTACCAGTCAGATCCAATTTGACGGTACACACATAAAAAGAAAAATAAATAAATAAATAAAAATTATAAAAAAAAAAAAGTGGACCGGCCAGGCCTTCAGTCCTCAGGGCTGGGGCTGCAGAGAGACCTCAGGGCAGAGAGCTCATGTGCTTGGCTCCGTTCAGAAGTCAGTGGTTCGAATCCACCAGCTAACCTGAGGAAAAAAAAAAAAGGAAAACTCCCTTTTACAATTCTGCCTTGGGCTATTTTCCACTAAATATGGTAAGATAAAACATGGTAGAGAAAATAAAATATTTTCTCCATAAGCTTACCTCTTTTGATAATTCACTTCTTTCTTTTACTTGGTTTTTATGAGAAGCTTCAAGTATTTCATGCTTTCTTCTAAACTCAGTTAGTTCCTGTTCAAGGACATCACGTTCACTATAAAAATAAAAATCAGATATATTATTTCATATTTAGTATATCTAGACTCCTTAACTGTAACAGAAAAAGGGTTTCTTTCCTGAACTATTTGAGTGGGAATTTTCCCAATGTTAATAAAGATTAATTAATAATAAAGATTGTACATATAATCAAGGTATAGTTACCAAATTCAAGAGATATTAATTTAATGGAACACAAATATTCTAAAAGGAATAAATATATGAGTGTTAAATGAATCTTTATCTTTAATGCAAAAAGTTTACAAGAATTCAAATATACTACTGCTACTTGTTGACAGTAGCAGAAGCCAACTCATGGCTGTCAGGTCAGAACCAATTCACAGCTGATCCTTCAGTAGGTGTCTGGAGTTTGTAAGACAAACAGATCTGGTGGCCTAGTGGTAAGATGCTGTACTGTAATCCCAAAGGCATGCAGTTCTAATGCACCAGTTGCTCCACAGGAGAAGCATGATGGGCAATCTCCTCCTAAGCAATTTACTGCCTCTGAAACCCACTACTGGTCAGCTATGGATCTGTTCCAACTCAATGGAACCCAAAAATGAATTTGACAGAGATTTCTGGTCTTTCTCCTAGTGGAGCTGCCAGCCGATCTGAGCAGCCAGAAAGGTGCATCTTTGAGTTGGCAGCTCAAATCCCTATGGATAATACCACCAGAGCTACAGTTTAGGTGAAGAGAAGCCTCTGTGGTATAGTTCTACTCAATAGGGTCTGCAGGGTCACTGTGGGTTTTAACTGTCTCAACAGCTATGGGATATTTTTAGTATTAGTGGTAACAGACTGGAGAAAATATGTATTCTCTGAAAGGGTTATGTTCCAAAATGATCTTCTGTTAGAAAAGACTGACTGAAAAAAAACACATCAAAGAACAAAAAACAAAAGCACCTAAGGAAAAAGAAGCTGATTTCAAAACAAATAATCACTAAAATAAATTTTAAAATATTTAGACATTTGGGAACTTACAGGGATTCTATCTTTAAAGAAAAGACAGTAGCAACCTTTAGCTAAACTAAAAACCAACAAATATGAAAAGATATATTATCTAAAACTTAACAAATAAATCACTAAACAAGACGCTTTTCGGAAGACTAATGAGTGCATAGAGTGGAGTTAGCAATGTGACCTTGTTATATGACTGCGATGAGAACGACAAGAGGTGTTTTAATTACTCACCTCTGGACTTTATCATAGTTTTCCTGACGGTAGTCACCTTGTTGAATTAATTGCTTTGTGTCTGCTAATTCTAAGGCCAAACGTTGACATCTATTTTGAAGCTCAGAGCGGTGTCTTCGCTCTTCTTCGTATGTCTATAAAATAAAAGAACAGTATACCTTTCAAATTAAATATAGTTAACCAAATGGTATCTTGAGTTCATCTGCCAAGTTGTGAATTCTCTTGTGATAAGAATTTTTTTTAATCCTCAAATTTTCTGTTTTATCATTTTTCCAACCTAAAGCGAGGCGCTCTGCTATTAATCAAGAAGCTGAACTCTTGGAGTTTTGCTTTGTTCTTTGTTAGGCGTTGTCCACTCAACAACAGGTCCTAGTGAACCTATGAGTCAAAGAGCTGAATGCCACCCCACCCCGCACCATGCTCACCATTCATTCTCAAATGCTTGAGTGCACGAATGAGAGTTACTGTGTCAATCCATCTTCTTGAGAAGCTTCCTCTCTGACTTTTCTTCTCTCCACTTTTACCAGAATGTCTTTTTCCAACATATTTTTGTGACATGTCCAAAGTATGTGAGACGACGTGGCACCACCCTCTCCACTAAGGGCCACCTGGGCTATACTTCCTCTGCAACAGGTCTGTCTGTTCTTTTGGCAGTCCATGGGATATATAGTACTCTCCTCCAACACCACAATTCAAAGGCATCAATTCTTTTGTCATTTTTATTCACTGTCCAATTCTGAGATGCACAAGAAGCAACTGAAAAGATCATGACTTGGATCAGGAGTACCTTAAGTACTAAAGTACCCTGGATCAGGAGTTTTTAAATTAACATCATTGTTCTACAGAGGACTCAGACAGCAGATTTTCCCAATGCAACTTGACTTTTGATTTCCTGATTGCTAGTGCTAATATTCCTTGGAGGACAAGGGTGGGGGAAGGAGTCGGTGAAGGAGAGGAATACCCTCAACTAGGTGGATTAACACTGTGCTGCAATGGCCTCTTGTGTGTCAGGAAGTGTGAGGATGGCGCAAGATAGAACAGGGTTCAGATCTTTTGTTCAAAGAGTCGCTATGAGTTGTACTTGACTTGAGGGCACCTAACAACAATAACAACAACAACAACAGTGTTAATGATGTTGATTATGGGTCTAAGCAAGACGAAGTCATTAACAATGTCAATTTCTCTCCATTGATTATGGTGCTGGTGGTGAAGATTATTGTTTTCTTGATGTTGAAATGCAATGCATATTGGAGGCTACAGTCCTTGATCTTCTGCAGCAAGTGTTTCAAGTCCTCCTCACTTCCAGGAAGCAAGGTTGTATCCTCTACACAGCACAAGCTGCTGATGAGTCTTCCTCCAATCCAGATGTCAGACTCCCCTCTTAATAAAGCCCAGCTTCTCAAATTAATTATTCAGCATACTGATTGAAGAGATATGAAAAAAGGATGCATTCCTGACACACATTTTTCTTGATTTTATGTAGTGTTTACTTGCTCAATTCAGACAATAGCTTCTTGATCAAGGTATCAATTTTGCAGAGCACAATCAAGTGCTCTGGGATTCCTATTCTTTTCAGTGTTAGCCATAATTTTTATGATCCACACAGTCAAATGCCTTTGTATAGTTAATAAAACACAAGTAGACATCCTTCTAGTAATCTTTGCTTTCAGCCAAGATCCATCTGACATCATCAATCACACCCGTAGTGCTATGCCTCTTCTTTGTTCAATTAGTACTTTCAGCAGTTCACTGTTGATGTGTTGTTCTAGCCTCTTTTGGACAATCTGTTCTCTTTAGAGAAATATTTTGCTCATGTGTGATACTAATGGTATTGTGAAATAATTTCTTGATTCTGTTGGATTGCCTTTCCAACAGATTGGGAATATATGTAGAGCTCCTCTAGTTGGATGGTCAGGTAGTTCTCCAGATTTCTTGGCACAACTAGCTGAGCGCATCCAGGGCTGCTTCTGCTTGCTGAAAAATGTCAACTAGAATTCATCAATTCCTGGCATTAATTTCCAGGACCTTACTTTTTTGCCAATACCTTCAGTGCAGCTTGAACTTCTTCCTTTATTTTTGGTTCTTGATCATATGCTACTTCCTAAAATGGTTCCGTGACAGCAAATTCTTTTTAGTACAAGGATTCTGTGAATTCTTTCCATTTTATTTTCATACTTCCTGGATTGTTAAAGCTCATATAAGTGAACTTTATAGCTGGGTATAAATATTATCCTGAGTTTTATATGGATAAGGAAACTGAGCATTGAAGAAGCTAAATGTCTCATAAGTACATGGCAGAGTGTTGTTGCTGTAGTTCTGTGCCATCATGTCACCTGCAACTTACAGCGACCCTATGTAAGGACTACAATTTAGGTTTATCAAACAGCAAAGTTGTAGACAACTCTTTTATACCTTATCAGTACACGCAGGATAAATACACTAGCTCGAGAAGAAGGCTAAACAAAGTTTTTTAAGATGGTACAAGTTTAAAAATAATCAAATATTAGTATGAGTGAGCTGAGATCAAAGGAGGACTGGCAATGTAGAAAGGGGCAAATTTAGAATGGTAAAAAGAAATTATATGTATAGCATAGTAAATCATTACTCATGGTCATCAGGTATGATTTTTTTTTTTTGGCTGTTACAGAGAATTGAAAACTTGAATTTCAACTAAGGTAACACTTTTCCATTTGATAAAGCTCGTAACAATACAGCTCTATTTTTTCCATTTTGCTTCTCAATGCCCATTTTCTACCCCTTAAGATTAAGGCTTTCTACAATTACAGACACACAGATCAATGGAATTTAATTGAGAACCCTGAAATCAGCCCATCTACCTATGGTCAACTGATTTTTGACAAGAAGATGAAATCAGTTAAGTGGGAAAATGAGAGCCTTTTAAACAAACGGTGTTGGCAAAATTGGAAAACCATCTGCAGAAAACTCAAACAAGATGCACAAATCACACCATACACAAAAACCAACTCAAAGTGGATCAAAGACCTAGGACAAAAACCAAGGACTATAAACTTCATTAGAGAAAAGCTTAGAAGAACTCTAGAAGCCCTAATCCACAACATAAACAGTCTTCCAAACATCCTGAAAAACCTACAACCAGAAGAGGATAAAATAAATGAATGGGACCTTCTAAGAATCAAAGCCCTATGCACATCCAAAAACTTCTCCAACAGGGTAAAAAGGTAAGCCACAGACTGGGGAAAAAATATTTGGTAATGACATGCCTGATAAGGGACTTATATCTAGAATTTATAGAATATTCAAGTACCACAAGATAAAGGTAAATAACCCAACTGAAAAATGGGCACAGGATATGAACAGACACTTCAACAAAGAAAAGATTCACATGGCGAACAAACACATCAAGAAATGTTCAAAGTCCCTAGCTCTAAGAGAGATGCAAATCAAAACAACTAAGAGATATCATCTCACCCCAGGTAAGACTAGCAAAATTCAACAGAACAGCAAACAACAAATGCTGGCGAGGTTGTGGAGAAACTGGAACCCTTATTCACTGTCAGTGAGAGTGTAAAATGGTTCAACCACTATGGAAGGAAGTATGACACTTTCTCAAAAAGTAGGAAATAGAAATACCATTTGACACATCAGTTCCACTACTGGGAATATACCCTAAAGAAACAAGAGCAGGTATACGCACACACATGTTTATTTCATGTTGTTTTGTTCACAAGTTCACAATAGCAAAGAGCTGGAAACAACCCAAGTGTCCATCAACAAATGAATGGACAGAGAAGCAGGAATATTATGCAGCACTGAAAAACAAACAACTAATGAAATATTTTACAAAATGGGTGACCATGGCGGACATTATGCTGAGTGAAATATCTCGGTCACAAAAAGACAAATACTGCAGAATGCCACTGTTATAAAACAGGACTGACATAGGGGCTAGGGGGAAACTAAGAAAAGAGAAGATAAATAACGTACATCATATTGAAACAGATGAGGGAGAGCTGCATAAAATGAATATATGATGAGGTATTATTGGCTCTTGGGAGGCTCTCCTTGCCAGAAGGCAGGAGCGTGGCAGTGGGAGTGCAGGAATCGTGGCAAGCTTTTGGAGCCGACTGCTTTTCCGGGAATGTGTTTGACGTGCAGGTTTTAGAGAGGTCCCTATCAGCCGACTTTCCCATCGAAATATGTTTTTTTATTTCCTGGCTGCTGGTGCCAAGAGTGTTGACCATGGAGCCGAGCAAACCGAAGCTGTGAACAATCTCAATCTCTTCGCCAACCATCCTGACGCTGCGAGTTGGTCCAGTGGCGAGAATCTTTGTCTTCTTGACATTGAGCCTCAGTCCATACTGAAGGCTGCAGTCCTTGACCCTCTGCAGTAAGTGCATGAGGTCCTCCTCAGCTTCAGCGAGCAGGGTTGTGTCATCTGCATAACGCAGACTGTTGATAAATCTTCCACCAATCCTAAAGCCACGCTTTTCCTCATAGAGCCCAGCCTCTCGGATAATCTGCTCTGCATACAGGTTGAAAAAGTATGGAGATAGGACACATCCCTGGCGTACACCCTTCCCTATTTTGAACCATGCAGTGTTGCCCTGCTCTGTTCTGACGACTGCCTCTTGGTCCAAGTATAGGTTTCGCATTAACATGATTAAATGTTCTGGGATTCCCATTTTTCTCAGAGTCAGCCACAGTTTGTTATAATCCACACAGTCAAATGCCTTTGCATAATCAATGAAACACAGATAGACATTTTTCTGGTATTCCCTGTTTTCAGCTAAGTTCCATCTGACATCAGCTACAATATGCCTAGTACCATGACCCCTTCTAAACCCAGCCTGGACTTCTGGCAGTTCTCTGTTGATGTACTGTTCCAGTCGTTTTTGGATAATCTTCAGTAGAATCTTGCTTGCATGTGAAATCAATGATATTGTTCTGTAGTTTCTGCACTTGGTTGGGTCACCCTTCTTTGGGATGGGAACAAATATAGATCTCTTCATCAGTTGGCCAAGTGGTTGTTCTCCAGATTTCTTGGCACAACTTGGTGAGCACGTCCAGGGCAGCATCTGTTAGCTGAAATATGTCAATTGGTATACCATATACTCCTGGGGCTTTATTTTTTGCTATTTCCTTCAAAGCAGCT